TTTTTAAATTAACGCAAATAGAATAAGTAAATCCTGTATAATGAACCTGAATAGCTTATTGTAAATACCTAAATTAAGTAATCTTTCTTTTGATATTAAATTAAATGCAAAGTATCATCATATAACAAATAAAAAAATTAATAAATTAAAAGAATTGATACAAAGAGGGGCACTGCAAAAAATGGTCAATGATTACTGTACAGAGCATGGTTTAACTGAACGCCCAAGTATTTTGAATCAACTAACATGGAATCAGCATTTACAAACACCTCAGGATGCGTACCATGCTGTAGCTGGGAAAATACAAAGGCTAATGGACTATACTTTTTCAATATTAAATTAAAGAGAAAAATGCACTTTTTTAAATTATTGGAAAACCTTTGAGTTACTATCTGGCTGGTACCATCTCACTAACCCAATCAAGCACCTTAACAGTTTCATGTTTTCTGACTGTTTGTGATTAGCAATGATAATGCCATTCTTAGTGCGAAGGTTCTTAACAATATCATGTATCAAAGATACTGATTTGGCTTTGTTGCAAAGGCAACTTACAATATCAACAAACATGTGATTAAAGATGCTATTGTCTACACAAATTGTGAATAAAATCATTTCTTGCTAAGTAGCCATCACAAAAGCATCATACTTAAGTTTTAGCTTTACATTTACTAACCAAACATATATAGAACTAGATGAAGCTCTAAAAATTAAGCATATTTTCTTACTGAATATGAGTACTGTTTCTTGTAATACGTACTGTATGTATGTATATATGTATATATATGTGTATGTGAGTTTTAATTTTTTTAAATATTAGCATAGGAGACTGTCGATAATATTTAGCTAATTTAAATTAGAATTTACTTATACAAATCCTTAAAAAATCAAGGGACTTTTAACAATAATAAGAGGGCATTTATTTTAAGATGGCGATTTCTGATAATTCAATTCAATCCAATTTTATTGGTGCAATATAAAACATAACTAATATTATTTATGTCATTGTACTTTAGCTTTTTCTAAACAATTTCAATAATTTGCCAAATTTACATATAAACCGGCATCATGTTCAGAATGCTCGCAACTTTGGAATGCTTGTAAATATCTCTGTGGGAGAAAAGAAAGTGGTACATAAAACATTCAAAAGCTCTGTTTCAAAAATGAATTGCAAGAATATAGAATTTAATCTCATTCAACAACACAATACACTCCAAACGATTCGTTATCTGATCGATAGAGGCAAAGATAGCCACTTTCAACATATTGGACAAGGTTTTTGAAATTTTACAACAGACCTGTTGCTTCAACCAATATTATTAGATAGGTATATGATACAAAATATTTAAGATACTCAAGAAGATACTGCTAATATAAGTAAGTATATAAATTTTCGATTATCTGGGATTTCAAAATTAAAAAATATAAACTCTAAGGTAACATTATATTTCATTAATGTATATAATTAGTAATTATCTAATACTAACAATAGATGATTTCTTAAAAAGAAAATAACTTGTTGAAGTTAATATTTATATGTATTAGCATGGGACTAATATTTTACTTACAATAGGTGAAGTTTTTTCACACATCTCTATTTAATAATATTCTTTTTTTTAACCTTCATATATTTATATAAGGATTAACTTTTTATGCTCTTAATATGGTTCTTCGATATTGAACTACGGCCTTAAAATTTTAGTGACCAAAATTTTAATTCCTTATTGCAATAGGTACAAATATTACATCGCATAATGATAAAGTAAGAAACATCAAAACATGGAAATGTCTATCAAAAAGCAAAATTTATCAACTTTCGCTACCTGTAAAATTTGATGACAATCTTCAGTTTATTTATGACATCATAAGCGCATATGATAATTATATAGAAAAAAAAGCAGCTTTAATACATAGACGTGTAGAATTTTACAAGCAAATAAGTTACACTTTATTAAATGATAATGACACATTCGATACGTATATGAATTTGCATTCTTGTGATATTGTACAAATTCAGGAAGAAACTGGGTTGTCTTACGCTATACTAAAGAGAATATTTATGCATAGATATAATGATGGTTTAGTATATTCATTTATTTGGGTTGACTGGTTGCGGAAATACTCTATACTTGATCCAATTCTTCAATGTCCAGTTTATGAAAAACAAACAGCTAAAAATACAAGGTGGCACCGAGTTTACCCAATAAGCCTTATAGACAATTTATCAAAGGTTCATTTTGTACACTATTGTCATTCTACATGTACTTCAACTTCACATAATTCTTCAAATAATCAATATATTAGAAATAAATTTTATTATGAAGCAATTTAAAAAAATTTAAGTTTTAATATTGTTTTTATTTTTTTTTATTTGGAGATTTTATTTATTAATTTCATTCATTGTTCTTGTACAATTTAATTCTTAGTCAAATATGCCACTACGCTATTTAAGTGATATATTTTTATATTGTATTACGAACTAATTGGTAAGTAAAATTTCCAAACTCGATTTTGTAAAGCATAACAATTAATGATTGTAACCTCCAATGATTCCATTATTTAGGACAATATATTTTATATATCTATATTACTTTTCAGTCAATATCTTCTATTTCACTATCTGATCTTGTTTAATTTCATCAAGGTTCACTATACTTCACTATATGTAGATAAATGGATCCCAATATCTGTATCGTTATTTTATTATTCCTTATCTTACAATAGGATTTTATCATCTTTGTGTGTTTTGCAATTACAGAATTATTATTAAAATCTAGACCAGACTCATATTCAACCTTTGAATAATTCCATGTGTTTAGTTCCATCCTACTTAATCTATTAATTTGTTATCACTTTTTTCATAATAATTTCTTCATCAGTTCTATGCATTCACTAGTAATAATATTGATTGCTTAGTTTTTTCCATGAATATTTACCATTTAATTTGTTCATATTAATTTAATATGTGAGTATAAATAACTTTTATTAAGTATTTAAAATAATTGATATTTACTATTAATTTTATTTACATTAATTAGTTGTAAGCACAAGAAATATTTAAAAATAATTAACAAAAGACCCAAATAAGTTGCCCAAGTTCATGAATA